GGAGGAGATAATAACTAGAACAGAGTATACTACTGACTCCGGCCATACAATAGAGCGGAAAAATAATGTAAGGGACCTGGGAGTAGTAATGTCTGAGGATCTCACTTTCAAGGATCGCAACAGTGCCACGATCACAAGTGCAAAGAAAATGATAGGATATATATTGAGAACGTTCAAGACGAGAGATGCCAAGCCAATGTTCTCTCTAGGCTGGATTGCTGCTGCACATTAACATCTCCGTTCAAAGCAGGTGAAATTGCAGATCTAGAGAGTGTACAGAGAACTTTTATGCACGTATAAGTTCTATCAAGCACTTAACATGAAACGCTGAGACTATGATTGTAATCGTTGACAGGAGAGAGAGATTTATCATATCTACACTTGGAAATCTAAGGATATCCTGATCTGCACATAAAATCCCCGTCCTACAAAGAAGTGGGCAGCATGCAAAATACCCCATAAAGAGGGAGCCATGGTACAGAGAATACCCGTGTGTCTGCCCAAGACTGCTTCAACAGCTCCACCAAGCATATGGGAATACCATAAGCCCTGACTGCCTTCAGGGAAGGGAGTGGACAGATACTTAATCAGTGCTAGATCAGCCAAGCTGTGTTCGTCTTGGACAGCTGGCCCAGTAACAGCCTAGATGATCAGCCCATCACCGGGAAGGCCTGGTCGTGCCCGGCCTGGGGCTTGAATCCCCTGAATAACTCCAGATAACGTCCAGGTAACTTCAATGAGTAACATTAGGACACCGTTATAAGTTACAGGTGTTGCAGACACCTTCATGAATTACAGGCTTACAGACATTTCATGAATTAACAGTATAGCCCCTTCATGAGTTAACAGGTGTAGCAGACACTCATAAATTAACAGTGTAGAGACACCTTCATGAAGGTTAACGTGTTGGACACCTTCGAAGTCTAACAGTGTACAACACCTAAAGAGTTAACAGGTTTAGCAGACACCTCATGAAGGTTACAGTGTTAGCAGACCCTTCATGAAGTAATAGGTGTCAGCAGACACCTTCAGAATTAACAGTGTTAGCAGGAAACCTTCATGAAGTTAACAGGTGCTAGCAGACACCTTCATAAGCTAACAGGTGTTAGCAGACACCTTCATGAAGTTAACAGTTGTTAGCAGAACACCTTCATGAAGTTAACAAGTCTTACCCAGACACCTTCATAAGTTAACAGGTGTCAGCAGACACCTTCATGAAATTAACAGTGTTAGCAGACACCTTCATGAAGTTAACAGGTGTTAGCAGACACCTTCATAAGTTAACAGGTGTAGCAGACACCTTCATGAAGTTAACAGGTGTTAGCAGACACCTTCATGAAGTTAACCAGGTGTCAGCAGACACCTTCATGAAGGTAACAGTGTTAGCAGACACCTTCATGAAGTTAACAGTGTTAGCAGACACCTTCATGAAGTTAACAGGTGTCAGCAGACACCTTCATGAATTAATAGGTGTTCAGCAGACACCTCATGAAGCTACAGGAGTTGCAACACTATGAGTACAGTTTAGCAGACACCTTCATGAAGTTAACAGTGTTAGCAGACACCTTCATGAAGTTAACATGGTGTTAGCAGAACCTTCATGAAGTTAACAGGTGTTAGCAGACACCGTCATGAAGTTAACAGGTGTTAGCAGACACCTTCATGAAGTTAACAAGTGTTAGCAGACACCTTCATGAAGTTAACAGGTGTTAGCAGACACCTTCATTAAGTTAACAAGTGTTACGACACTCATGAAAACCGTTTGCAGCACTTCTGAAGTTAACAGGTGTTAGAGACTCCTTCATGAAGTTAACAGGTGTTAGCAGACACCTCCATGAAGCTAACAGGTGTTAGCAGATACCTTCATGAAGTTAACAGGTGTTAGCAGACACCTTCATGTAGCTAACAGGTGTTAGCAGACACCTTCATGAAGTTAACAGGTGTTAGCAGACACCTTCATGAAGTTAACAAGTGTTAGCAGACACCTTCATGAAGTTAACAGGTGTTAGCAGACACCTTCATGAAGTTAACAAGTGTTAGCAGACACCTTCATGAAGTTAACATGTGTCAGCAGACACCTTCATGAAGTTAACAAGTGTTAGCAGACACCTTCATGAAGTTAACAGGTGTCAGCAGACACCTTCATGAAGTTAACAAGTGTTAGCAGACACCTTCATGAAGTTAACAGGTGCTAGCAGACACCTTCATGAGCTAAAGTGAGCAGAACCTCATGAATTAACAGGTGTTAGCAGACACCTTCATGAAGTTAACAGGTAGTTAGCAGACACCTTCATGAAGTTAACAGGTGTCAGCAGACACCTTCATGAAATTAACAGGTGTTAGCAGACACCTTCATGAAGTTAACAGGTATTAGCAGACACCTTCATGAAGTTAACAGGTGTTAGCAGACACCTTCATGAAGTTAATATGTGTTAACAGACACCTTCATGAAGTTAACAAGTGTTAGCAGACACCTTCATGAAGTTAACAGGTGTCAGCAGACACATTCATGAAGTTAGCAGGTGTCAGCAGACACCTTCATGAAGTTAACAGGTGTTAGAAGACACCTTCATGAAGTTAACAGGTGCTAGAAGACACCTTCATGAAGTTAACAGGTGTCAGCAGACACCTTCATGAATTTAACAGGTGTTAGGAGACACCTTCATGAAGTTAACAGGTATCAGCAGACACCTTCATGAAGTTAACAGTGTTCAGCAGACACCTTCATGAAGTTAACAGTGTTCACAGACACCTTCATGAAGTTAACAGTGTAGCAGACACCTTCGTGAAGTTAACAGGTGTCAGAAGACACCTTCATGAAGTTAACAGGTGTCAGCAGACACCTTCATGAAGTTAACAGGTGTCAGCAGACACCTTCATGAAGTTAACAGGTGTCAGAAGACACCTTCATGAAGTTAACAGGTTTCAGCAGACACTTCATGAAGTTAACAGGTGTCAGCAGACACCTTCAGAAGTTAACAGGTGTCAGCAGACACCTTCGTGAAGTTAACAGGTGTTAGCAGACTCCTTCATGAAGTTAACAGGTGTCAGCAGACACCTTCATGAAGTTAACAGGTGTCAGCAGACACCTTCATGAAGTTAACAGGTGTCAGCAGACACCTTCATGAAGTTAACAGGTGTTCAGCAGACACCTTCATGAAGTTAACAGGTGTCAGCAGACACTTCATGAAGTTAATAGGTGTTAGTAGACACCTTCATGAAGTTAACAGGTGCTAGCAGACACCTTCATGAAGTTAACAGGTGTCAGCAGACACCTTCATGAAGTTAACAGGTGTCAGCAGACCCTTCATAAGTTAACAGGTGTCAGCAGACACCTTCATGAAGTTAACAGGTGTTAGCAGACACCTTCATGAAGTTAACAGGTGTTAGCAGACACCTTCATGAAGTTAACAGGTGTTAGCAGACACCTTCATGAAGTTAACAGGTGTTAGCAGACACCTTCATGAAGTTAACAAGTGTTAGCAGACACCTTCATGAAGTTAACAGGTGCTAGCAGACACCTTCATGAAGCTAACAGGTGTCAGCAGACACCTTCATGAAATTAACAGGTGTTAGCAGACACCTTCATGAAGTTAACAGGTATTAGCAGACACCTTCATGAAGTTAACAGGTGTTAGCAGACACCTTCATGAAGTTAACAGGTGTTAGCAGACACCTTCATGAAGTTAACAGGTTTAGCAACACCTTCATGAAGTTAACAGGTGTTAGCAGACACCTTCATGAAGTTAATATGTGTTAACAGACACCTTCATGAAGTTAACAAGTGTTAGCAGACACCTTCATGAAGTTAACAGGTGTCAGCAGACACTTCATGAAATGTTAGCAGGTGTTAGCAGACACCTTCATGAAGTTAACAGGTTTAGAGACACCTTCATGTAGTTAACAGGTGCTAGAAGACACCTTCATGAAGTTAACAGGTGTCAGCAGACACCTTCATGAATTTAACAGGTGTTAGGAGACACCTTCATGAAGTTAACAGGTGTCAGCAGACACCTTCATGAAGTTAACAGGTGTCAGCAGACACCTTCATGAAGTTAACAGGTGTCAGCAGACACCTTCATGAAGTTAACAGGTGTCAGCAGACACCTTCGTGAAGTTAACAGGTGTCAGAAGACACCTTCATGAAGTTAACAGGTGTTACAGACACCTTCATGAAGTTAACAGGTGTCAGCAGACACCTTCATGAAGTTAACAGGTGTCAGCAGACACTTTCATGAAGTTAACAGGTGTCAGCAGACACCTTCATGAAGTTAACAGGTGTCAGCAGACACCTTCGTGAAGTTAACAGGTGTCAGAAGACACCTTCATGAAGTTAACAGGTGTCAGCAGACACCTTCATGAAGTTAACAGGTGTCAGCAGACACCTTCATGAAGATAACAGGTGTCAGCAGACACCTTCATGAAGTTAACAGGTGTCAGCAGACACCTTCATGAAGTTAACAGGTGTCAGCAGACACCTTCGTGAAGTTAACAGGTGTCAGAGACACCTTCATGAAGTTAACAGTGTCAGCAGACACCTTCATGAAGTTAACAGGTGTCAGCAGACACCTTCATGAAGTTAACAGGTGTCAGCAGACACCTTCATGAAGTTAACAGGTGTCAGCAGACACCTTCATGAAGTTAACAGGTGTCAGCAGACACCTTCATGAAGTTAACAGGTGTCAGAACCTTCATGAAGTACGTTTAGCAGACACCTTCATGAAGTTAACAGGTTTTTGCAGACACCTTCATGAAGTTAACAGGTGTTCAGCAGACACCTTCATGAAGTTAACAGGTGTCAGCAGACACCTTCATGAAGTTTTATCGTGTAGTGTTCCGCCATCTCTTACATTATTCTTGCTCTTGTAGCAAATAACGTTGTCTGTGCTTCTATATTTATATACTGCAGTTTGTTTGTTATCTGTGATTGCTGTACTGTTTGTACTTTATAAGTTAGCACATGAAAATTAATCGTTTTTCATATTCCTCTTTTGCACTAGTGATGGTGTTGATGGGTGGGTGTGGGACACCTTCAACACCACCATGACTATGTCAACTTACCTCGTTGGATTCCTCATCAGTGACTTTTCATATCTTGAATCATCAGAGCTCAACAACACGCTTTTCAAAGGTTTTTAATACTTAAAGGAGTTCTGTATATGAGTCAGTCTCATGGGTTTAAATCCTCTCGACTGTAAGGTTTTGACGATGCAGTTGAGCTGTTCGCTAACATTCAAGAATTCTTTAATCCCTTTAAAAGGGAATTTTTCAGTGTATATACCAAGCAGAAAATGGTGCAATAAAAGATAATTATTTCAACTTGTGTTATACTGAAACATAATTGTAGAATTTTAACTATGACAAAGCTCGTCAATATATAAACTGTAAAACATTTATGATAATGGTAAAGATTCAACCAGAAATAATTATTTTGTTGACATTGAGATCTAATGTTTTACTTTGAAAAATTAATTATTCTGCATTTCCTTTAAAATTATATAAAGCTCAATTATTTTAGTTGTTATTAATCGAAATAATTAGCATCACAGTACATGTAAAGACAAGTATATTAAGTAAGACACATGTGCACTAGTTAGGTATCTTAATTCCGAAATGTTTCGCCTACACAGTAGGCTGCTTCTGTCGGGTACAGAAAAGTTGGCAGAAACAGTAGAGATGTGAATGCGAAGTAATCAGTCCATCACCCTCGAAGACGTAGTTTTGAGGTGATCAGTCCCTCAGCCTGCAGAAGAGATTTTGCTCCATAGTATGAAACATTGTGAAGTTAAAGCGACATTATGGATACTTATATACTGTCAGAAGAAGAGATGTAATAAAATGAAATAAAATATAGCATTTGTTATTTTAGCTGAATGTTTGTTAAATTAGTGTGATCAGTGATGGAACACTGATGTTTTAACATGATCAATAATCTATCAATTATTTTAGTATGGACACGGAAGGACGCCGTGAGTCAGGCCGCTTATGCTCGTGACACAGCCCCAGCTATACTCACCTTCCTTGAGAACTATTTTAATATTCCATTTCCTCTGCCAAAGCTTGACATGTCAAGTGTACCAGACTTCAAGTTTAATGGCATGGAGAACTGGGGACTCATCCTCTTCAGGTAAACATTGATTATTTTTGTCTTAAATGTTGCAAAGTAGGTTAAATGTAATGATTTTTTTATATGTTTTTTTGGTAAATTAATTACCATATAAAATATTATTATATTTAAATGTCCATTAGGTTCCTATTAAAGTTTGTATTGGCTATCATTGTGAATTATATACAATGAAATGCCAACTGTCGCCTTATGGCAGATATACCTTACAAATAATGTTGACAGCGGTTATGATGATGACTACTCACTACATAGATCAGGAAGGATTCGTCAGGAAACAGAATAAATACCTCCTGACGTGGGCCTTAATCATAGTATAACCCATCATTGGAACTTATGGTCACATGACCGATGTTTTCCCGTGGCTAATTGATGCATTCCTTGCTGATAAACCTCTACATCAGGGCTCCACAAACTCTTCAGATCATCAACACCTTCATGAAGTTGTAGCTTGTTCATCGACCACCAAACATTTACATGAAAATAATTCAGTAAATAGTGCTTTAACTATATAATAGTACTCTGAATAATAATAATAATAATAATAATAATAATAATAATAATAATAATAATAATAATAATAATAATAATATAAATTACTTAATAAAAATGTAATATTTAAATGATGAAAAGTATAAGATTTAAAATACTCTTTTTTATTATTAAAACTGTTGATATCATTAACAGGAAGTATACAGGACAAAGGTGTCCTGTAACTCGATTCCTAGCACACTCAGTTAACTTACTGTGGTCCGGGGGTCGATCCCCGGTACGGTTGGAAACATTAGGGCGAGTGACACTTTCTGTCTATGTTCACCCAGTCAACTGGTGAGGATTGCATCCTAGACAAAATTTACCTGATTTGCTCGAAATACTCTGCATAACAAGGGGCTTTCTATATAGTAGTATGTCAGTGATGTCAGCTAGGCCTGTATACCTTGTACATGTAGTAAATAAAGATATATATATATATATATATATATATATATATATATATATATATATATATATATATATATATATATATATATTTATTAAGCGGAGTGTATATACACAGAAAGATGACAACCAGCAGGATTCGAACCCACCTTTTTTGCTGTCTACAAGTGTGGTTTAGCTCCCACCACGATGTCTTAAACCACTTAGCTACACAAGCTTCAAAATGTTAGGCAGAAATACAACCCATGGTGACCATGTCCGAGGCTCACAAGTGTTCTCAGTGCTTGTAGCCATTCTACCTAGCTTTTGGAGGCATCTGTAGGTAAGTGGTTTAGTGCCACAGTGGTAGCTAAGCAACACTCGTGGACATCAGCTAAGATGGGTTCGAATCCTGTTTGTGTTTAATCTTTCTGTGTATATATGTTCATAATATTTTCCAAAATTAAACTCTGTATAATATTTTCTTTAGGGAAACTGCTCTATTATACGATTCGAAGCTAAGTTCAGTCTCCAGCAAGCAGACTCTTGGCAATGTCTTAGCTCATGAGATCGCTCATCAGTGGTTTGGCAACTTGGTCACTCCAGCCTGGTGGTCAGACCTCTGGCTCAAGGAAGGATTTGCAACCTTTATGGGCTATATAAGCCTTAATGTTGTAAGTATGGATTAGTTTCCTATTGTCATAACTTAGTTAGTCCTTTATATAGTAATTATACATAAGTTTGAAGGCAAAATGGAGTGAAAATGAAAGGTGTGAGTTTTACCATATTTTCCGGTATATATATGGCGTGCCTTTTTTCCCACAAAAAAATCTTGGAAAATCAACTTGCACGTTATATGGTCAACGTCAGGGAAAAGCTTTGAGTTACGTTATACATCAGAGGGTAATTAACCCTTCAATATGAAAACTGATTTACCACTATGATACTTCTGTTGTGCGCCTTATATGCCGGAAAATATGGTAACTCTTGGTATCATTATCAGGTAACTTTCAGGGAACCCACAGGTTATTACACTGAATATAAGTAGACTAAAACGTTGATTATTCTAAGGTTGTAACATTGATCACCTATTGATTATGCTTATGATTATCCAACGATTATAACATTAGTTACCCAGGACATAGGTAATAACACTGATTTAAGATCAGTAAAGTATCGTGAGTCAGCTGCCAAGTTACACAAATACAAAAAATAAAATTGAAATTTAAAAACTTTTTCACATTATACATATTTTTTGGTACAGGTTGAACCAACATGGGGTGTGATGGAACAGTTCCTGATATCAAACCTTCACAAAGCACTGGAACTAGATAGTCTCAAGACTTCCCACCCCATTAATGTTGTTGTTAACCATCCAGACGAAATTCCTCAGATATTTGATGTCATATCTTACAGTAAAGGTAGGTGGACTATTATTAATACTTGATGGCATGGCTTGTATTAAAGATGGGGCTATTATAATTAATTGATGTCAAAGATTAGGTTATTAAATATACTGAATGATATAAAACAATGGTAGAACTTACATTAGTAATTTATGTCAGATGTTAAATAAAAGGTAAAACTATTAAAGATGCTACAAGTAATTAATGAGGGCGGGACTATTGTGAATAAATGATGAAAAATCTTTCGTCATAAGACAGGATTATTGAAGATACTGATTGTTTTATTTTACAACAAAGGAAAGATTATTATGGATCCACTGGTCAACTAAAAAATTCGTTGTCAAAGATATTCGAAGGTAAATGGGGTATACTGGGGTGGCTGAATTAGAAAATGGCAGTAGGTTTGTCAAATTGGCTCTAGTTTGTGAGATATTGCATACCTACCCTTAATTAACAAGGAACTTAGCCATCAAGAATATATACATATATGTAGTGACAATTTGTACTTACAGAAAGTTTTAATAAGATTAGAATTTTATATTTAAATGATTAAATATTTAACGAAAGGAGTTGTATGAACAACAACCATGTGACAATACTGTAACGTGGTGGGAGAAGCAGTAAATGAAATAAATGATAGAATATGTGACAGCAAAATATAACGTACATGATGAATTAGTGGACAGAAGTTATAATTTAACTTTGCATGTACTACAGGCTTAATAAATTATGATATTAGAGAGACTGTATTGTTAAGAGACCAAACAACATTAAAGCAAGTCACAAGCAATTGTCAGAGGAAGAAGGGATAGTCAAGTAGTTGTGAATTGTCATAATGCTTCTCCATATTACACATATGTCTCCTTTGGCATTTGTGATCATTTCAGATTCTTTCAGCACTTTACAGACCATTAAACAATTTGATTTCTGTGAAGGGCAATGAACAGGTGGATGCTGCTGCGCAGTCAGGGGTACATGATCTTCATTTTTCCTGTAGAGGTATTCCATTCAAGGATTAATTTACAGTCATCTCTGCCCGTCTTTGCAGTCGTTGGCAACAACGGTGGTCGGACATCCACCATAACAAATTGCACTCTATTAAACTGCTTTTAGGTTTGTGGCCATCTTCTTACCACCGCTGCCGTACTTGGAAGACTGCGTTCTCCCGTCTTCGCATCGGCCATACTCGCATTGTACTAATATTGGTAGAATTTCCAACAATATGTTAAGTAAAAGGACACAAGTGCAGCTAATGTGACATTTTATTGTGGCAACGTTTCGTTCTCCAGGAGCTTTATCAAGCTGTTACAAACAATACGTGGACACAGAGGGGTATATATAGGCTTAGAGTGAAGTGTAATACTAGTGGTGGTAGTAGTAATACAATATGGTAGAACAATCAACTTGCACATGAGTAAAAGGTTGTAAAAGTTATTACTTGGGTAGCATAAAAATAGTTTAGACAGATGTTTCTGTTGGTGGTTGGATTTGAGAAATATAAACACATATGCAGCATAATGTGATCCTTTATTGACTACGTTTCACCCACACAGTGGGCTTTTTCAAGTCACAAATAGAACTACCTGGGGTGGAAGGAACGCGAGTATTTATAGTCCGGTTCAGAATGCTGAGGTCAGGTGGAGAATGCTGCATCTGATGATGTACCGAGTGGGGTTACAGAGTCTAAAAACATGGGTAGCTTGGAAAGGAGATTGGATAAGTTTGTGAGCAGACCTTCTACAGTGTTCTTATGTGGGATAGCGATGAAGAAGTTTCTTGGCAAGTGGCTCAGCTATGTTATAGAAGCCACTATTCTGGTTGAAGTTGTCGGATATAGAAATAAGTGATGATTCCAGGATTCTTCGGTATTGAGTGTTGTCTTCTGTGGCGATAAGTCTTGAGTTTCTGTAGTTTATCAAGTGGTTGTGTGAATTACGGTGTTGTACGCAGGCATTCCTTGTATCGTCAGACCTGCTTCCGTACTGGTGTTCTGAAATACGTGTTTGGAGGTCCCTTGATGTTTCACCTACGTATAACTTATTGCAGTCATTACAAGGGATTATGTATACCCCTACAGAGGGTGGAAGCTTGTCCTGTCTATCACTGGTAATGTCCTTGATGGTCGTGGTTGTGGAGGTAGATACTTGTAATGAGGTATTGGAAAAGATGTTGGAAACGTGTTTGGCAATGGAGTTGGTGGGGAGGACTATGTATCTCTTCTCGGCAGTGTCTTCTCTGGGTGTGTTGAAGATGTTTAATGCCCGTCGTCTGCAGTCTCTGATGAAGTGACGAGGATAGTGGAGTTTAGAAAATACTTGTTCAATCATCGTGCATTCTTCTTCAAGAAACTCATTGCTGCAGATTCTGAGTGCACGCAGGAAGAAGCCTATAATTACACCACGTTTGGTTTTGGTGTCGTGGTGAGAGTAAAAGTGGAAAAGATCGTTTTGGTTGGTGGGTTTTCGATAGACTTTAAAACGAAGTTCGTGGTCAGCTTTGCAAAGCAGAACATCAAGGAAAGGAAGAGTGTTGTCGACACCAGCTCTCAGGAATTCTCGCAAAACACCTCTCTAAACTCTTGGGCACTATCAGTCCAGCACATCTCAAACACTCGGGCGATCTTCTCAATCGCATTCGCAACATCAACATCAGGAACAAGAAACTTTCCAGCCTTGACGTGACTTCCCTATTCACCAAAGTACCTACTACACAAGCCATCGATCTCTTGCGCAGGAAAATTGACGATTCATTTGATCTTCCCATTCCAGCCAGCGATTTCATCGACCTTGTTGAACTATGTGTTGGCTTTACGTGTTTCTCTTTCGAAAATCACCTCTTTCAGCAGACTTTTGGACTACACATGGGTTCGCCACTCAGTGCGGTCCTGGCGAACCTATACATGGAACATCTAGAAGCCGAACGTTTCTCCACCATTATTCCTTCATCTGTCACCTGGCTCCGTTATGTTGACGACATTCTCCTCATAACTCCTAAACGCTTCAATGTTAAAGCTCTCCAAGACAAGCTCAACCAGGTCGAGCCTTCAATCCAGTTCACACTTGAAGAAGAAGTCGACAACACTCTTCCTTTCCTTGATGTTCTGCTTTGCAAAGCTGACCACGAACTTCGTTTTAAAGTCTATCGAAAACCCACCAACCAAAACGATCTTTTCCACTTTTACTCTCACCACGACACCAAAACCAAACGTGGTGTAATTATAGGCTTCTTCCTGCGTGCACTCAGAATCTGCAGCAATGAGTTTCTTGAAGAAGAATGCACGATGATTGAACAAGTATTTTCTAAACTCCACTATCCTCGTCACTTCATCAGAGACTGCAGACGACGGGCATTAAACATCTTCAACACACCCAGAGAAGACACTGCCGAGAAGAGATACATAGTCCTCCCCACCAACTCCATTGCCAAACACGTTTCCAACATCTTTTCCAATACCTCATTACAAGTATCTACCTCCACAACCACGACCATCAAGGACATTACCAGTGATAGACAGGACAAGCTTCCACCCTCTGTAGGGGTATACATAATCCCTTGTAATGACTGCAATAAGTTATACGTAGGTGAAACATCAAGGGACCTCCAAACACGTATTTCAGAACACCAGTACGGAAGCAGGTCTGACGATACAAGGAATGCCTGCGTACAACACCGTAATTCACACAACCACTTGATAAACTACAGAAACTCAAGACTTATCGCCACAGAAGACAACACTCAATACCGAAGAATCCTGGAATCATCACTTATTTCTATATCCGACAACTTCAACCAGAATAGTGGCTTCTATAACATAGCTGAACCACTAGCCAAGAAACTTCTTCATCGCTATCCCACATAAGAACACTGTAGAAGGTCTGCTCACAAACTTATCCAATCTCCTTTCCAAGCTACCCAAGGTTTTAGACTCTGTAACCCCACTCGGTACATCATCAGATGCAGCATTCTCCACCTGACCTCAGCATTCTGAACCGGACTATAAATACTCGCGTTCCTTCCACCCCAGGTAGTTCTATTTGTGACTTGAAAAAGCCCACTGTGTGGGCGGAACGTAGTCAATAAAGGATCACATTATGCTGCATATGTGTTTATATTTCCATTGTGTCGGTATTTTACACCATTTATTTCCATGGATTTGAGAAGGTTTGTTTCAGTGTTCCTCTGTTATGTTCTTGTGTAGCATTAGCAGCAGAGCCTAAGTGATGGCAGGGTTTACTGTTTGGAGGAGGATTTTTGCTAATACCTCAAAGAAGATGAAGGTGCCTTTATTTCGATTGTTAGAAAGGGTTATTAATGATGATTCAAGGTATTTATGTCAGCGGAAATTAGGCTCTTTGATCAGGACTATGAGTACTAGGAGAACTAGTAATAGGCAAAATGAGGTGGATATTGGAAAGCCAGTGGCACTAATTGACAAGGACAGTAATAGGTTTAGTGGTATAACAGAAAGGAGCAGGAAGAGTAAAGAGAACAGAGGGTCCTTAAATATATATTACACAAATAGTCGTAGTGCTAGGAATAAGATGGACGAGTTGAGACTAGTTGCTAGTACAGGTAACAGTGATGTATTTGCCTTAACTGAGACGTGGTTCAATATGAAAAATAGGGACATGCCTGCAGAATGTCACATTCAGGGTTTTAAATTGTTCCAAGTAGATAGAAGTATCGGGAAGGGGGGTGGGGTGGCATTGTATGTCCGAGATCGCTTGAACTGTTGCACAAAAACGGGTATTAAGTAAAACATACAGAGTCTGTTTGGATAGAATTTTCAGAGGGGCATGAAAAATTTATTTTAGGTGTGATATACCGTCCCCCAAACTTAGATAGGGACCAAGGGAGACTATTATGGGAGGAAATTGTTAAGGCCACAAAGCACGATAATATAGTAATTCTAGGAGACTTTAACTTTAGTCATATTGATTGGAATTTCTTGACTGGGAATTTAGAATCATACGACGTCTTAGAGGTAGTTCAGGATTGTTTTCTGAAGCAGTTTG